GCAGGGCCGGGACGTCCCCACCCCGGGTGGCGCCAGCGCGGCCGGCGCAGCAGGAGTGCATGGGGCCCGCCCAGGCTCCCGCCCAGGAAGAGAAGCCGGTCAGGAATCTAGCCCCCTGCCTCAACCCGGGGTGCCCCTACCTGGAGCACAGCGCCCCTGCGAGGCTGTGGAGGCCGGGCTACTGCTGCGACATGCGCGGCGGCCGCCACCGTGAGCAGGATTGGGCCGAGGGAGGCGTCAAGCACTACAAGTACTGCGAGAAGGCGCCTCATGGCCGCGAAGAGGAGCAGCAGCCAGGAGACGGAGGTGGAGGAGGCGGTGGGAGCCGCAAGAAGAATAATAATAACAAACATAAAAATGAGAAATCCGAGCCCGCCGAGCCGCCGGACGGCCCCCCGGCCCGAGGAGGGGCCTTGGGCCGTGCCAGGGTCCTGGCAGCGCTCCGCTGTGATGTCGAAAAGGAGGGGCCGTCACCTGAGTGCCCACCTCCCTCGCCACGTGAGCTCAGGAGGAGGAAGAGGGACGCAGAGGCAGAGGCCCGCAAGAACGAGCCACGCATCAAGCTCGCTGCGAGGATGCTGCCAACTGAAGTGAAAGAGGAAGTGGAGTCTGAGGATGAGGGTTCGAAGACGGCTGCAGCTTCGTCGTCGGGGCAGGAGGCGAGCGGCGGTGGCGGCCGAGGAGCTGACCCCGAGGCGGCAGGGCGCAGGTACAAGGAGCTGGCTGACCGCGTGGAGGGCCGGCGCACCATCGGGAAGAGTGCGGCGAACCAGGAGCACCGCCGCCTCTTGGACCATGCAGCGCACGCCCTTGCGCGGACTCAGGAGCTGCGGCCGCAGGTGCTTGAGGAAGGGGGCGGCGGAACCGCCGCGCCCGAGGGCCAGGGGCGGTCTAGGTCGTCGGAGGAGAGGAGATGCCCAGCGAGCCCGGCAAGGAGGGCTCGCTCAGTGCCCCCTCGGCCAACGCGGGGCACGGGCGCGTCGCGTGCCCGCGTCAGGGAGCCCTTGCCGATGCCGCCACCAAGGGAGAGAACGGTCTCCCGCAGCCCGCCCCGGCGCAGTGCCACCCCTGAGGACGAGGGAGGCGATGATGAGGCTGCGAGCTCTGTCGACTCGGAGCTACAGGCAGAGTCGATGGAGGCCGATGCTGGCGCGAGCAGCGAGGCCAGGATGGCGGCGCTGAGGGCCAGGGCCATCCAGATCAAGCGCGACGAGGACGACGCGGCGGAGATGGCCAGGAGGAACGAGGCAAGGCAGAGGATGGGGACGCCCAGGGAGGGCCTCAGCCGAGGACCGCCCGGGTCTGAGCGTTCCCTATCGCCTGGGCCATCGGCGCCGAGCTCCCCGTCGCTCCGCACGTCGCGGCAGGTTGAGGCGGAGGAGCGCCCGGCCTACGCGCCGCTGCCCGGTGAGGACGTCGAGATCGACCCGCGGGCGGTCGCGCGCTACCTAGCGGACAGGCGGAGCTCTAGCAGCGCGGGCCCTGGTGAGAAGGGAGTGCGCACCCGCCTCGAAGCTATGGCACGGGGGGCCACGCAGGGCTCGGGCCGCCGTCGCGACCGAGGCGGGGACCGCAGGCGGGGCAGCAGTGGAGGAGACGACCGCAGGAGCGGGTGCCTCGAGCAGGCGCAGGCTGAGGAGGAGCTCGAGGCGCTGGTGAGGAGGTGGAGCTACCCCGAGCAGAGAGGAGGGTGGCTCGACTGGGCCATGGCAGCCATGGGTGCAGGCGAGGAGCACGACCGCACAGCGGGGGCCACCTCGCATAAGAGCAAGAAAGGCAGCAAAAGGGTCCGCGGCCCGCGCGAGAACAAGCCGCCCAACCTCCTCGGACCGGAAGTTGTTCGAGCGAGCGCCCGCCCGGAGGACCTCACTCTGACGGGCCTCAAGACGCGCGAGGACTGGGAGAAAGCCAAACTCGAGCTCATTCTCGACAAGCTGGCCAGCTCCACGATCAAGTCGTACAGCATTGGCTGGAGGTGGTGGACTCTCTTCTGCCGCACGAGGGGAATCAGCCCCCTTCGCGAGATCACGCCAGAGAGTAGGAGGAATGAAGAGGAGCTGTTGCTGGAATTCGTCATCCACCTGGCGCGCCGAGGCTGCAAGAAGGCGGGCACCATCAAGCAGTGCCTGAGCTCGGTCCGAGCCCAGCACCTCGCGCTCGGCATGGGCGACATCGCGGAAGACGCTGGCAGGCTCTGGATGGCGATCGACGGGCTCAGAAGGAGGGATGGCGGCACCAAGCGCAAGAAGCCGGTCACTCCCCGCATGATGAGGTGGATTAGGCGGAAGCTGCAGCCAAAGAGGTCGAGGGAAGGTGCAGCTTTGTGGGCCGCAGTGGCCACGGGCTACTTTTTCCTCTTGAGGACCAGCGAGTACGTCTCGAACGATCAGAACGGCTACATGGGCAACAAGGGTCTTCGGGGAGCTGACGTCACCCCGAAGGCGAGCGGCGAGCCGACTCGCGCGTGGGGCGAGGCGAACGAGGTCGTCATCAAGATTCGGGCCAGCACCCCTCACTCTGGCACACCCCTCAAACGTTTCGTGGCCGCATAAGGAGCTCCACCGAAGGCCACAGTGCCACCGCCCGCATGCGTCACCGACACCCATGTCGGCACACCCCTCACACGTTTCGTGGCCTTCAAGACGGCCCACGAGATCCCCTGAGACCGCGAGCAGGCCCTAAGAGGCCCCAACAGGCCCAAAGAGCCCCTAAACGGCTCCCCAAAGGCCCCAGATATGTTCAAAACTACCACCAAGAGGCTCCCTTGAGCCTTCCCCAGGGACCCTTGTAGGCATCTAAGAGAGCTCCGACCCACAACTCAGCCACGCTGGGGGATCGGGCGTACGACAGCCTCGGACGGTCCACGAAGCCTCCCAGACCAACCTCAGATGACCCGGTTGGCCTTGTCAGGATCTGTGTTGGTGGATCCCTGCGAAACCTTTTTCTGCTGCTCCTGCTTCTCCCCTTGGCGACCCTGATCGTTCTGCTGTTGCTGTTGCTGCTTCTCATCGAGAAGGCCGATCGCGACGAGGGGCAGGGAGTTGGAGAACACGACGTCCCGCCCTCAATCAATCCCCAGTTGACCCTCGGTAGATGGGGATCATTGACATCTACTGCAACTTTCTCCCACCCCCTTGACCCCCTTGGTATCACAACGAAACTTGTGCATACGCCTAACTGGAACATGAGCGCGACGCGCGCGTGTATCTAGTATATATGTGTATATATATTTATGAACAGAGAGAGATTGTGTGTGTGTGAGTAAGGGGGGGCTGAGGGACACGTGTGTGTGTGTACCTTTACGACCACCATCTGGGGGGGGAGGGGGGGAACCAACATCTGACTCAATCGATCTCCCTATCGATTTCACTCAACGGGGCACCACGGGACACCACGGGACACCATGGGACACCACGGGACTCGTGTCGATCTCACCATCGATCTCACTATCGATCTCACTCAACGGGACACCACGGGCCACCACGGGACACCACGAGACACCGCGGGACACCTCTCGATCTCACTATCGGTCTCACTATCGATCTCACTCAACGGGACACCACGGGACACCTGTCGATCTCACTATCGATCTCTCTCAACGGGACACCACGGGACACCTCGGGGCACCAAATCGACACTTGCCGATCTCACTATCGATCTCACGATCGATCTCGCTCAACGGGACACCACGAGACACCACAGGCCACGACGGGACACCACGGGACACCTCGGGACACCTCTCGATCTCACTATCGGTCTCACTGTCGATCTCACTATTGATCTCACTCAACGGGACACCACGGGGCACCACGGGACACCTGTCGATCTCATTATTGATCTCACTATCGATCTCACTGAACGGGACACCACGGGACACCACGGGACACCTCGGGGCACCAAATCGATCTCACTATCGATCTCACTATCGATCTCACTGAACGGGCCACCACGGGCCACCACAAGACACCACGGGACACCGGCGGGACACCGTGGGGCACCGGCCGCCGGAGGAGTCGCGTTTGGTCTGGCCGCGGCCCAGCCACAGGAGGATTTCGGGACACCCGCGGGACACCGGCGGGACACCGCGGGGCACCGGCCGCCGGAGGAGTTACATTTGGCCCGGCCGCGGCCCAGCCACAGGAGGATTTCCTTTCGCCCGCCCACGCAGCTTCGCCTCGCCCGCACGCGCGCACGGCACGCACGACACGAACCCCCAAACCGAAATCGATTTCCTGGTAGGGGGGATGTCTCCGTTTCACGTCGGACCCACCCCCCAACCTCCGATATCTATATATATATATATATATATATATATATATATGTCGGAGGTGAGGGGGTGAGATCGAAGTGGAACGGAGAGCCCCCCTACCAGGAAATCGGTTTCGGTTTCGTGTTCGTGCGTGCCGCGCGTGCGGGCGAGGCGAAGCTGCGTGGGCGGGCGAGAAATAAGTCTCCTGTAGCTGAGGCGTGGCCGGACCAAAAGTCCCGCATCCTCCTTCTCCTCCTCCTCCTCCTCCTCCTCCTCCTCCTCCTCCTTCAGGGACATCAGTCGGGGGGACACGCCCAGGGGGGGGATGCATCGACCCCCGATCGCCCAATGGATCGCCGACAAGGGCCCGAGGGCCCGCCCCGCTCGGGACCGTCCAGTGTCGCTACCAGGGGCTGGTCGCTGATCTGTCGGCGAGAAGGAGGAGGAGGAGGAGGAGGAGGAGGAGGAGGAGAAGTAGGCGGAGGAGGAGGAGGCGGAGGAGGAGGAGGAGGAGGAGGCAGAGGAGGAGGAGGAGGAGGCGGAGGAGGAGGAGGAGGAACGATGTATCGCCAATTCCAAATCGAGGTTTCCCCCCGTGAGCCTGTGCCCCCTCACGTCTCTCCATAGTCAGAGGAGCCACAACGCACTCCACGAGGTCTCAAAGATGTACCAGTAGTCCACCATGACACTTCGGAGATCTCCAGGGGCCCCGGCGTCCTCCCAACACCGCTCAAAAGATTGCATTCCGTATCTAAACTTGGCTCAAGCCGTTTTTGGCTCAGCATTTGGCATTTGGGCCACGATTTGTTTTGCGATTCGGAGGCAGCCCAGCGGCGACCAGTTGGAGCGAAGCACCCTGCGCAACACTGCAGCATGGCCACTCCAGGCACCGCAGGGATGCCGAGTTTTGCGGGCAACGGTCTCCCTCTTGTCAGCGAGCAGCGACCGAGGCCAGCGTTGGCATGGGCGGAGGCATCCGGCGTGGCGCCCGCACCGAGGCAGCCCTCGACTCTCGGGCTGACCCGCGGGCGCCCCTTCGGAGTGGGCCGCGGCGGGGCCGTGTCGGGCCCTGGCCCTGGCGGCCTCGGCCCCGAGCAGATCCGCAGACCCCGTGCGCTCCAGCCTCCTCCGAGTTCGGCACCTGCGACTCTCGAAGACCTTCCCTATATGAGGAGTTTCGCAGGCCTAGAGGTTGACACCAACAGCAAGATCGGTGGTGTGCCTCCACCGAGGGAAGACGATCCCGATCTCGGTGATGGTGGTAATGCTTTGGCTTGAAAGGTGACCGAAGTATTACCACCAACACCGAAATCTAGGATCATCTTCCCCATGTGGAGGCAACCCCCTGTGCTGGTGTTGGTGCCAATTTCCAGGCCTCCAAGAGTTGGCCGCCGCGCCATGGGTGGCGGTAAATTGGGGGGCAGCGAGGGCTGCAGAAAAGGGGCCTTTGAAGGAAGAAGTTTTCTGCAGGGCCCTATAGGAGGCCCTTTCGGGCCCCAGAGGGGGGGCTTTCAGAGCCCGCCTTTCTTCCCCCCCTATCATCGCCTTCCCATTACGCGACGCCCAAAGGAGGCTGGACATGTGGATCCCCGAGCCTCGCATGGGCAGCCCCACGTCACGCCGGCTCGTGGCTGGTGCCTTCGCGGCGCCCGAGTTGTTGCCGGGAGTGGAGCTGGCCAGCGGCGGGGCAGTTGGCAACCTGTCGAGCGACACCGAGTCCACCTCCGTCCTCTCCGAGGAGTCCTCGATGCTGTCCAAGGACTGCCTTGGGCTCCACGGGACCAGTGAGATGGCCGGTGAGGCTGAGCGGCCCACCTGCACCTTGCTTGGGCACAAACCTCTCAGCGGCGATCGGTGCCGACGAGATGAGGACCGCAAGGGTGATCTGCCGAGTCTTGGCCAGAGCATCTCCCGCAGGTCGGGCGGGTGGTAATGGGGGGTGACCTACATGGGGGGTGGAGAAAGGGGCCTCTGTAGCTTGCAGGGGCCCAAGGGGTCCCCGAAAGGCCCCGTTCGGGTCCATCGTCGGACGGGGCCAGGACGAGGACAAATCCGTTCCAGAGCGTTCCGGAACGCTCTCAGAGCTTTCCGGAACGCTCTGAGAAGGCCGCGGCGCCCGAGACATCCTCCAGAGCCGCCAGATCTCCGAGATTCTCGATGTATCCTCATCCGATTTTATCCTCGTCCTGGTTTCGTCTTAGAAGCAAGACGAGCAGCGAGCGGACGCAGGTCACCCTGTGGAGGTCACTCCCCACTGCCACCCGCCCGAGCAGGCCGTCCGTCTTCGACGTGCGTGAGAGGATCCCGTGCTCTCCGGGCCCCAGCCGGTTCGGCCGCGAGCCAACCAGGCCCACGCGCCCCGGAGAGGGAGCGCCCGGCCAGGCTTGCCCCGCCACGCCATGAGGTCGATGTCGGCGAGGGGGGGAAGGCGCCTTGCCTCCAGCAGCTGGGGCTTTTTTTTGTGCGGCGCAGACGGGGCCAGACGAAGACACGACACGGCGACGAGCGACACGGCGAGTTGCCAAGGGGCGAGTGGCCTTAAACGTGGGTTTGGGAAGCCGTCGTAGGGGGAGGATGGAAGAGGATGAGGAGGGGAAAGAGGAGGGGGAGGAGGATGAGGATGAGGAGGAGGAGGAGGAGGAGGAGGAAGGAGGAGGAGGATGACTGATGATGAGGAAGGACGATGGAGAGAGGAGGAGGAGGAGGAGGGGGGAGGAGGAGGGAGCAGGAGGAGGAGGAGGAGGAGAAGGAGGCCGTTGCGCGCGCGAGCATGCGCGGGCTAGCGCGGCCGCAGAGATGCACAGGCCAACACCAAACACTCCAGCCAGCGCAATCGCCAGCGCATGGGTTTTGCAAACCAAGTTGCGGGTGGGTGGGTGGGGACGATAGCGCTAGCAGTGGAGTCGACAACTTCAAGTTCGGCAGGGTGAATTCTCCTTTCTAAAACAGAATAGACTACCCCCCCGGCGTTATCACGTCACCTTTCGGGTCTGTAAATTTTATATGATTATGACCACATGTCCATCCTAAATATGAAATCACAATATCCCAGGCCAACCGGTATCCCCCCCCTGAGGTTCCCTAGTAACAAACACCATGCGGTGACTTTTTTTTCCTAACATAACACTTTTTCACGAATCCCTTGCAAAAAATGGGACGAAGTGCAGACGCGCGCGTCGTCGCGCGCGTATGCCGAAAACCTTCAAAACCCATCGGTTTCGGAAGGAGTTCAAAATCGTGTGTCCAAAAAACCTACAAAAACCCAAGATTTCGCAACACGGATTTTCAACAAACGCGTGCGCGCCGGCGCTCTTGCGTCGTCGTCGTCGTCGTCGCCGTCCTCCCTCCTCCCGCGTCGTCGTCGTCGTCGTCGTCGCCTACGTCGTCTTCTGTCTTTCCTCGTGTTAGTCGTCGTCGTCGTCCTCTTTGGCGTCGTGGTCGTTTCCGTCGTCGTTGTCGCCGTGGTCGTCCTTCCTCCTTCTTCGTCGCTCGCGTCGTCCCCGTCCTCCCTCCTCCCTCGTCGTTGTCGTCGTTGTCGTCGTTGTCGCCGTCGTCGTCCTTCCTCCTCCCTCGTCATCGTCTTCGTTGGCGTCGTCGTCGTCGTCTTCGTCGTCGTCGTTGTCGTCGGTGTCGTCGCAGTCGGTCTTAATAGGTTTTGCAAACCAAGTTGCGGGCGGGTGGGTGGGATGTTGGCAAGAGCGTGGGTAAAAATCAATTCTCCTTTCTAAAAAGAGAATAGACTCTATCTACCCCGCCCCGGACTTATCGGTTCCCCCTGGGATAGTATTATTTCATATATATATATATATATATATATATATATTCTGCACACCCGTCCATCCTAAATTTGACATCATACCATCCCAGCCAGGCCGGGTTCCCCCCCCTGAGGTTCCCTTGTAAAAAAAAACACCATGCGGTGACATTTTTCGTTCTAGCATAACTTTTGTTCGCGAAGCCCTTGCAACAAATGGGACGAAGTGCACACGCGCGCGTCGTCGCGCGCGCATGCCGAAATCCTTCAAAAACCCTCGGTGCCGGAAGGATTTCGCAATCGAGTTCCCCAAAAACGTGCAAAAACATAAGGTTTTGCAACACTGATTTGCTAAAAAAGCTTCCGCGCGAGCTCTTGCGAAATCTTAAGAAAACCATAGCTGTTTCAAGATTTTCGCAAAATGCTACCAAACGGGCTTCGCGCGCGCACATGTCGAAATCTGTCGAACGCCCTTGCGCGTGTGCCGTCGCGAGAATCCTCTGCAAAATCTGGGACGAAGTGCAGACGCGCGCGTCGTCGCGGGCGCATGCCGAAAACCTTCAAAACCCATCGGTTTCGGAAGGATGTCAACATCGTGCGTCCAAAAAACCTACAAAAACCCAAGGTTTCGCAACACGGATTTTCAATAAAAGCGTGCGCGCCGGCGCTCTTGCGTCGTCGTCGTCGTCGTCGCCGTCCTCCCTCCTCCCGCGTCGTCGTCGTCGTCGTCGTCGCCTACGTCGTCCTCTGTCGTTTCTCGTGTTCGTCGTCGTCGTCCTCTTTGGCGTCGAGGTCGTTTCCGTCGTCGTTATCGCCGTGGTCGTCCTTCCTCCTCCTCCCACGTCGTCGTCGTCGTCCGTCGTCGGCGTCTCGTCGTCGTCCCTCCTATTTCGTCGCCGTCGTCGTCGTCGTTGTCGTCGTCTTCTTCCCTCCTCCCTCGTCGTTGTCGTCGTCGGCGCCTCCGTCGTCGTTCGCGTCGTCGCCGTCCTCCTTCCTCCCTCGTCGTTGTCGTCGTTGTCGTCGTTGTCGCCGTCGTCGTCCTTCCTCCTCCCTCGTCGTCGCCTTCGTTGGCGTCGTCGTCGTCGTCTTCGTCGTCGTCGGCGTCGGCGTCGTCGTCGTCGTCGTCGAAGTCGTCGGAGACGTCGTCGGTGTCGTCCTAGCCGTTGTCGTCGGTGTCGTCGTAGTCGGTCTTAATAGGTTTTGCAAACCAAGTTGCGGGTGGGTGGGTGGGATGTTTGCGCGAGCAGTGGAGATGACGACTTCAAGTTCAGCAGAGTGGATTGCACCACATATACTGTACCACGTAAAGTGCATGGCATGAATTGCGCCACATACGTTGCACCACATTGATTGCACCACTTAGATTGCGCCACACGTGTTGCAACACGTAGATTCATCACGTAGGTTGCAAGAAACCTGTGCGTGTGGGGCCCACGATGGGTAGCATATTTTGGAAACTACACCTCATAAGCATCAATGTGTGCCCTTGATCGCCGACGCCATCCGCTGTTGTTTTCGATCGAGATTGTGCATGTTGATGGCACTTGTAGTGCTTATACTACCATTGATTGCAACTGGTGGATGCTGCTTCGGCGCTGTGGCGTTTCCCCCGTGCGCACCGTGGTGCTTTTCCTCCACATCCTTCCCGTTCAGTCGTCGCAGCACCCAACCCAGCGCCGTGGTGATTTAACTCCGAGTCAAGCCGGTCTCGGGCTGGTGCGCCCAGCGTGGAAATCACCCAACTCTGGAATTAAATCGTTTCCAGGCCGGCGCATGCGCCAGCTTCGCGGCGACTGAACTTCGGAGTTCAGTTTTCCGCGGGCTGGCGCTTGCCCCAGAGTCGGGGCGACTTAACCCCGCAGTTCAGTCTCTGATCGCGTCCGGGTTTCAGTTGCTACCGGCATCCATCCCGCTGGGTTTATGAGTCCCGTCGGAAGCACAGAGTTAGCAACATGAGGACACCCCGCCGTCCTGTTTAACAAAACCAATGCAATATTATCGCGGGAGCCAGTGCATGATTCAGGTGTTGCCACGAAGTAAGTACATTTGGTATGGGGTTTTGTCAGGGGTCGTGAGCCTACACAGACCTTTCAATGTGAGGCCCCCCCCAGCCGTCCCCCCTGTCAAATGCAAATTGATCGCGGGGTGCCCGCGCATGAACCAGCTCTTGCCACACAGTGTGCCTTGCATCGTGTGTTCACAGAAATGCAGGGTCGGCGCCGAGCGCAAGTTTCGAGGGCACGGCTGCCGTCCGCATCAGAAAGTCCTGCGAAGTGCCTGCGGGGCGCCTGGGCATGATCCAGATCTTGCCGCAGAGTGCACTTTGCATGCTGTCGTGACAGTCAGCGGGCGAAGAACGGTATAAAATAAACTTTTTCGCCGTCGGGGACACCTGCCCCTGGGCGGCTGGAAAGTTTCTACCCCTACGGTGCCACCGTAAGGGTATAAACTTTCCAGCCGCCCTGGGACAGGCGCCCCCGACAGCGAAAAAGTTAATTTTATACCGTTCTTCGCCCGTTAAGACAGGGGTGGCAGGCCTGCGCGGAGCGGAGAGCGTGGTGGCCCCTCGCAGCGTTCGTGCAGACCGAGGCAGGGTGCTCCCCGGGGCGCCTGCGCACGGCACCAGATGTTGCCACGAGGTGCGCGTCGCACTGCTTCTGACAGTTGGTGGCGGGGGGGGGGCCCTCATCTCGGCATCGCTCGGACGTGTGCATTTTTATTTTTTCCTTCGGGGAGGACCATCGAGGAGCATCCTTGATCATTTGGCGAAGAAAACCACGCACGAAACCGAAAAAACAGGGAATGGACTTCCGAGCGATGGCCAGTCATTGTCCCAGGTTTGTCGCCAGTCGGGCGGGGGAGGGGGTGTGCGTCAACAAAAAATGGGGGGCCCCGAGCAAGGGGAAGAGGGGATTTGGAAGAGAGAAGACAACAAGTCCTGTGCCCAGAGGGCCCGTGGGATTCGACCTTCGCCCGCGTAGCCCGCATGACGTGCACGCTCGCTGGCGCCTCAAGGTTTGATCTTGCCCAGCTGGCTCCCGCAATTCCGCCACCGTGCCAGCGCAGCATTTTGGGTTGCAAGTGCCAGAGAAAGCATGGGGTCCTCAGGGGCCTTGTGGGGCAAAGGCCTGATCTGATCAGAAGGCTTGGGCGTGCTGGGCACTTGAAGGTCTGATCTTATCCAGCTGCCACATGGGGACCTCTTGGGTCGTCCTGGGGAGTCTTGGTGCCCTTGTTGGTCGTCTTGAGACGTCGCACGCATAAAAGGCCAGGGCCCGGAAAGCATGTTACAAAAGCCTGCATACTTATGATCTGTGATGTTTGTCGTTCGAGGCCCTCTTGGGACGCTTCGGAGGCCTCGTGGGCCGTCTGGAAGCCAACTTGAAAACTTGAGCAGTCTTGAGGCTGAACTGGTCCGCCTCGGGGCGATGTTTGGCCGTCTTGGATGCAGTTGGGCCTCGGGTGCGCGAAGCTGTAATCTTTTGCAAAAGGCTGTGGCGGAAAGAGGGGGTGGTGCATACGGCTGGGCGAGGGTATTGCAAATTTCCTTCCAGACATGAGACCCATGGGACTGGAACGCGACCTTCAAGTTCGACCTGGACTTGAAGAGTTCTGCCGCGTTTTTTAGCATATCGATGGTGCGCACTAAGGGATGCATCCTGCTTGTCACGCCTTCAGGAGGGGTTTTCTTTGGGCGTCAAACCATCGCCAGCAGCAGCTTTGTCGTCGTTCGACACGACGGTCGAATTCGATCCGGCATTTGAAGGTGTGATTTTATAGCAAATCTTATTTAAGGGATTCCGTCGCGAGGTGCACAGATGATCCTTCGTGCAGCTTCCGTAGACGTGCTTTCCCATGCCCGCCCTGTTTAGGATTGCCCCAGTCCTGTTTTCTTGCTTGCTAATCGTTCTCCTCCGCTGCTGCGTTGCGTGAGGCTCGCGGCTCGCGGCTCGCGGAGGATTTTCCGGCAGGGCTCCGAAACGTCCAGTCGTGACTTCGGGAGCGTCGTGGACAGCGTTGCTTCCAAGAGGTCCTCGTCTGGACTGCGGATGGATTTCCTTCTGAGATGTATCTTCGAAGAAGCCCTTGTGGACCTTACAGCTTTGATCGTCAGACGGGAAGCCTGATGGGGGCTGGGGTAGGGCACGAATCAAACGTCCTTGGTGACCCCCAACCAGGTCTCCGCCTGCTAGGATTTCACGTCCAGCAGGCGTGTTGACTCTGGCAGAGAGGGCGTCGGAGGGGCTTTGTTCATCAGCAGCAGCAGCAGCAGCATCATCATCATCATCATCATCATCATCATCATCATCATCATCATCATCATCATCTTCATCTTCATCTTCATCTTCATCTTCATCTTCATCTTCATCTTCATCATCATCGTCATCGTCATCGTCATCATCATCATCATCATCATCGTCATCATCATCATCATCATCAACATCATCATCATCATCATCATCATCATCATCATCATCATCATCATCATCATCGTCATCATGTTCATCATCATCATCATCATCATCATCATCATCATCATCGCCAGCAGCAGCTTTGTCGTCGCTGTACACGACGGTCGAATTCGATCCTGACTCAATTAGCCCGTTTGAAGTGCACTCTCGCCGCCACTTGGAGGTGTAATCTTTTTCGGGCCCGCCCATGCCCCTCTATCCATCTATCCAGGATCGCCCCGCTCGCGGTCCGCTTCTTAGGTCCTGGTGGATCTCACAACTTCGAGCGATTCCACAGTGGAGTGGAGCCGCAGCACCTTTCACACCTCCTCGGTTGACGGGAAGCTTGATTCCGATTGGGGTAGGGGATACCGGAACCTTCCTAGGCCTCCTCTTCTGCATGTCTCCGCCAGCCAGGGTCTCACTTTCCGCAAGCGTGTTGATTGTGACAGAGAGGGCGTCGAGCTCAAAAAGTGTCGTGCTCGATCATACCTCGCGTAGCCCGCCTGAAGTGCACGCTCGCCCGCACCTGAAGGTCTGACCTTATAGTGGGCTTTCTTGGACGCGGATGTTGTCGCGAGGTGCGCGGAGCGCACTTGACAGCGTTGCTTCCAAGAGGTCTTCGTCTGAATGGCAGGGTTTCCTTCCAAGTGGTTCCTTCAAGTCATCGCAATCACCGCCGTACGGGTTCTACAAACTAGGTTGCGGATGGGTGGGTGGTATGATTGCGCGAGCAGTGGGGTTGACATCTTCAAGTTTTGCAAAGTGATTTGCTCCACATCGAATGCACCACATTGGGTGCACCTCATACATTGCAAATCTTCAACTGTACCACATGGATTGCACAACTTTTGTGGTACAACATAGGTTGCCAGAAGCATACTGTTTGGGGCCAGCGCTAGCTAGCACATATACACATGTAAATTTATTCTCTAGTTTCCCAAACAGTAATTGCAGTTTGAGGCTCTTACTTGGCTTAACCATCTCGGGGCGAATGGCGGCTTTTGCGGGCGGTGCCGCCCGTTGCCGCCGTCGCCGTCACCGTCGCCGTCGCCGCCGCTCCGGGCGACTGGCGACTTCTGCGGGCGGTGCCGCCCTTCGCCGCTGTCGCCGTCGCCGTCGCCGCCGCGGTGCCGCCCGTCGCCGCCGTCGCAGTCGCATAGATTCTATTTTCTGAACAGAGAATCGACTCCACTACTCTCCCGAGGCCGGACTTATCGGCACCCCCTGGGGATGAGCAGTTTACACCTGATTCTGCCCCACCGTCCATCCTAAACTAGGTTGTTAACAATAAGTTATAAATTTATGAACTTAGACTTACGATCCAGACGGGTAGAAGTTAGAATTTAGACATGCCAATGGGACCAGCGGAATTGTCTATCAAATTTGAGGCCGGGCTCTGTTTTCCAACTTGTGCAGGTTTTTTAAAGAGAAATGATGACTTGTGCAGGTTTTTTGCTTGGGAACCGATGGGTTGTGCAGCTTTTTCCGTTCTGTGGGATCGGTCTCGGTTTTCGAACTTGTGCAGGTTTTCTTAAAGAGAAATGATGACTTGTGCAGGTTTTTTGCTTGGGAACCGAAGGGTTGTGAAGCTTTTTCCGTTTTGTGGGGTCGGGCTCGGTTTTCGAACTTGTGTAGGTTTTTTTAAAGAGAAATGATGATTTGTGCAGGTTTTTTGTTTGGGAACCGATGGGTTGTGCAGCTTTTCCCGTTTTGTGGGGCGTGGCTCGGTTTTCGAAGTTGTGCAGGTTTTTTTAAAGAGAAATGATGACTTGTGCAGGTTTTTTTGTTTGGGAACCGATGGGTTGTGCAGTTTTTTCCGTTTTGTGGTGCCGAGCTCGGTTTTCGAAGTTGTGCAGGTTTTCTTAAAGAGAAATGATGACCTGTGCAGGTTTTTTGCTTGGGAACCGATGGGTTATGCAGCTTTTTCCGTTTTGTGAGGTCTGGCTCGGTTTTCGAAGTTGTGCAGGTTTTTTTAAAGAGAAATGGTGACCTGTGCAGGTTTTTTGTTTGGGAACCGATGGCTTTTTTCGTTTTGTGGAGCCGGGCTTGGTTTTCGAAGTTGTGCAGGTTTTCTTAAAGAGAAATGATGACTTGTGCGGGTTTTTTGCGTGGGAACCGATGGGTTGTGCAGCTTTTTCCGTTTTGTGGGGCGTGGCTCGGTTTTCGAAGTTGTGCAAGTTTTTTTGAAGAGAAATCGTGATTTGTGCAGGTTTTTTGCTTGGGAACCGATGGGTTGTGCAGCTTTTTCCGTTTTGTGGGGCCGAGCTCGGTTTTCGAATTTGTGCAGGTTTTTGTTAAAGAGAAATGGTGACTTGTGCAGGTTTTTTGTTTGGGAACCGATGGGTTGTGCAGCTTTTTTCGTTTTGTGGAGTCGGGCTCGGTTTTCGAAGTTGTGCAGGTTTTTCTAAAGAGAAATGATGAGTTGTGCAGGTTGTTTTGCTTGGGAACCGATGGGTTGTGCAGCTTTTCCCGTTTTGTGGGGTCGGGCTCGGTTTTCGAAGTTGTGCAAGTGTTTTTAAAGAGAAATGATGACTTGTGCAGGTTTTTGCTTGGGAACCGATGGGTTGTGCAGTTTTTCCCGTTTTGTGGGGTCGGGCTCGGTTTTCGAGCTTGTGCAGGTTTTTTTTCAGAGAAATGATGACTTGTGCAGGTTTTTTGCTTGGGAACCGATGGGTTGTGCAGCTTTTCCCGTTTTGTGGGGTCGGGCTCGGTTTTCGAGCTTCTGCATGTTTTTCTAAAGAGAAATGATGACTTGTGCAGGTTTTTGTTTGGGAACTGATGGGTTGTTGAGTTTTTTCCGTTTTGTGGGGTTGGGCTCGGTTTTCGAGTTTGTGCAGGTTTTTCTAAAGAGAAATGATGACTTGTGCAGGCCTTTTGCTTGGGAACCGAAAGGTTGTGAAGCTTTTTCCGTTTTGTGGGGTTGGGCTCGGTTTTCGAATTTGTGCAGGTTTTTTTAAAGAGAAATGATGACTCTTGCAGGTTTTTTGCCTCGGAACCAATGGGTCGTGCAGCTTTTTCCGTTTTGTGGGGCCGAGTTCGGTTTTCGAAGTTGTGCAGGTTTTTTAAAAGAGAAATCATAACTTGTGCAGTTTTTTTGTTTGGGAACCGATGGGTTGTGCAGTTTTTTCCGTTTTGTGGTGTCGAGCTCGGTTTTCGAAGTTGTGCAGGTTTTTTTAAAGAGAAATGATGAATTGTGTAGGTTTTTTTGTTTGGGAACCGATGGGTTGTGCAGCTTTTTCCGTTTTGTGGAGCCGGGCTTGGTTTTCGAAGTTGTGCAGGTTTTTTTAAAGAGAAATGATGACTTGTGCAGTTTTTTTGCTTGGGAACCGATGGGTTGTGCAGCTTTTTCCGTTTTGTGGGGCGTGGCTCGGTTTTCGAAGTTGTGCACGTTTTTTTGAAGAGAAATCGTGACTTGTGCAGGTTTTTTGCTTGGGAACCGATGGGTTGTGCAGTTTTTTCCGTTTTGTGGGGCCGAGCTCGGTTTTCGAATTTGTGCAGGTTTTTTTGAAGAGAAATGATGACTTGTGCACGTTTTTGTTTGGGAACCGATGGGTTGTGCAGTTTTTTTTCCGTTTTGTGGTGTCGAGCTCGGTTTTCGAAGTTGTGCAGGTTTTTGTTAAAGGAAATGATGAGTTGTGCAGGTTTTTTGTTTGGGAACCGATGGGTTGTGCAGCTTTTTTCGTTTTGTGGAGTCGGGCTCGGTTTTCGAGCTTGTGCAGGTTTTTCTAAAGAGAAATGATGAGTTGTGCAGGTTTTTTGCCTGGGAACCGATGGGTTGTGCAGCTTTTCCCGTTTTGTGGGGTCGGGCTCGGTTTTCGAAGTTGTGCAAGTGTTTTTAAAGAGAAATGATGACAAGTGCCGGTTTTTTGCTTGGGAACCGAAGGGTTGTGCAGCTTTTTCCGTTTTGTGGGGTCGGGCTCGGTTTTCGAGCTTGTGCAGGTTTTTCTTTAAAGAGAAATGATGACTTGTGCAGGTTTTTTGCTTGGGAACCGATGGGTTATGCAGCTTTCTCCGTTTTGTGAGGTCGGGCTCGGTTTTCGAAGTTGTGCAGGTTTTTTTAAAGAGAAATGGTGACTTGTGCAAGGCTTTTGCTTGGGAACGGATGGGTTGTGCAGCTTTTTCCGTTCTGTGGGATCGGGCTCGGTTTTCGACGTTGTGCAGGTTTTTTAATAGAGAAATGATGACTTGTGCAGGTTGTTTGCTTGGGAATCGAAGGGTTGTGAAACTTTTTCCGTTTTGTGGGGTCGAGCTCGGTTTTCGAATTTGTGCAGGTTTTTTTTGAAGAGAAATGATGACTTGTGCAGGTTTTTTGCTTGGGAACCGATGGGTTGTGCAGCTTTTCCCGTTTTGTGGGGTCGGGCTCGGTTTTCGAGCTTCTGCATGTTTTTCTAAAGAGAAATGATGACTTGTGCAGGTTCTTTGTTTGGGAACTGATGGGAGTTTTTTCCGTTTTGCGGGGTTGGGCTCGGTTTCCGAACTTGTGCAGGTTTTTCTAAAGAGAAATGATGACTTGTGCCGGTTTTTTGTTTGGGAACCGAAAGGTTGTGAAACTTTTTCCGTTTTGTGGGGTTGGGCTCGGTTTTCGAATTTGTGCAGGTTTCTTTAAAGAGAAATGATGACTTGTGCAGGTTTTTTGCCTCGGAACCGATGGGTCGTGCAGCTTTTTACGTTTTGTGGGGCCGAGTTCGGTTTTCGAACTTGTGCCGGTTTTTTAAAGAGAAATCATAACTTGTGCAGGTTTTTTGTTTGGGAACCGATGGGTTGTGCAGTTTTTTCCGTTTTGTGGTGTCGAGTTCGGTTTTCGAATTTGTGCAGGTTTTTTT